CCTTGAGCCTTGCTGGGGACAGGCCTGGGTCAGCAGGGCCAGAGGGGTTTTGAGCTGTGCAGGAGCTCCAGGCTGGCTCCGAGGGTCTGCCCTGCACTCCTGCATCCCTTGGATTCTCCTGGATCCTCTAGACCCCTCTGGGCTCCTGGATCTCTTGGATTCTCCTGGATCCTCTGGACCCCGCCGGGCTCCTGCATCTCTTGGATTCTCCTGGATCCTCTGGGCTCCTGGATCTCTTGGATTCTCCTGGATCCTCTGGGCTCCTGGATCTCTTGGATTCTCCTGGATCCTCTGGACCCTGCTGGGCTCCTGGATCTCCTGGATCCTCTGGACCTCTCTGGGCTCCTGGATCTCTTGGATTCTCCTGCATCCTCTGGGCTCCTGGATCTCTTGGATTCTCCTGGATCCTCTGGACCCCGCTGGGCTCCTGCATCTCTTGGATTCTCCTGGATCCTCTGGGCTCCTGGGTCTCTTGGATTCTACTGGATCCTCTGGACCCCGCTGGGCTCCTGGATCTCTTGGCTTCTCCTGGATCTTCTGGACCCCGCTGGGCTCCTGCATCTCTTGGATTCTCCTGGATCCTCTGGACTCCTGGATCTCTTGGATTCTCCTGGGTCTCCTGGTCTCTGCTGGGCTCCTGGTTCTCCCTGGGGTCGGCTGGAGAAGCTGCTCTGGTGTCACGCTGTCCCCAGTCTGGGGTGGCTGTGGCGTCACTGCTGCCACTGGAGCTGCTTCAGCTCCTGCTGCTGCTCCTTTAGCTGTGCTCTCAGGCCAAAGCGTGAGGGTTTTGGGAAGTTTTGCCTAAGTTTGTAAGAGAAAAGATGTTTTTGGGGTGCGGGGTCCTGCTGGCAGGCATGAGGTTAGGATATTAGGAAAAGGTTTTTCACGGAAAGAGTGATAAAGTTCTGGAATGGTCTGGGCAGGTGGTGCAGTCACCACCCCTGGGTGTGTTTAACAAAGCCTGGATGTGGCTCTGGGTGCCAGGGTTTGGTTGGGGTGTTTGGGCTGGGCTGGACTCAATGATATTGAAGGTCTCTTCCAACCTGGTGATTCTGTGAATTGTGGGGTGGCAGCTCAGGGGGTTCCTGTGATGCTGTCCCTGCCCATCCTCATTCCCTGCAGACAAACTCAGGGCTGGCACTGCCCCAGTGCCAGGAAAGGTGACCCTGGAGGGACAGGAGCTGCTGCCAGCGCTGGCACCTGGGCTGCCAGTGACACCAACAGGCAGGTGCCTGTCCCTGAGGCTGGAACTGCAGGAATTGCAGCTGACAGGAGTGTCCCTGCAATTCTAGAGCCTGGAGAGCAGGTCCCTTCCCTGCTGGGGGTGGGGTGGGATGAGCTCCAGGAGGTTTCCTCACAGCCAGCTCTTCCCTGGGCTTGGCTTGGTTCTTGTTCCAGCATTTCCTGAGCACCTGGACGGAATGAGGGATCCTCTGGGCTCTGTTTGGGGTTCTGGGGATGCTGCACGGCAGCCCCTGGGGTGGGTGGGGGCAGGAGGGTCCTGCTTGGCTGGGCTTGGGGGGGACCCGGCCACCAGTGGCCCTGGGAGGGAGTGGGAGGTGAATCCATCACCCCGGCGGGGGTTGGGATCTGTGGTGGAGCCAGGCTGGAGGTGAAGCTGCCCAGCCAGAGCTGAGCCCCTCTTCCTGGGCTGTGTGAGGTGAGGGTGTGCAGAAAACTGCCTGTGCGCTGGGGAGGAGGAGCTGCTCGCCTGGCAGGGCCCTTTCCAGCTGTTTTCCATGGAAATGCCATCCTCTGGCTGCAGGGATCCGGGCTGTGTCCCTGGGGACAGCGGTTCCTGCAGCCCTGGCACGATGGTGGCATCTGTGGGTGTTTAATCCCTGTTCCTGGGACAGTCCCGTTTTCCTGTGGCGGCAGAAGGACCTGGAGGCAGGAAAAGGTGGCTCGTGGAAGTGGCACCTGGCTGTGGGAGGGAGGACAAGGACATCTCTGGCTGGCAGGGTCCGGCTGTCCTCTCCATAAAGTGACCCTCGTGCCACCCCTGTGCTTGTCCCAGTGGGATCTGTGGGATGTGCCCAGCCCGGGGCTCGGAGGGGGAGGAGGGAGAAGCTTCCCAGCCCAGCAGCCTGGATGGGGAATAATGCTCCCCTTTTTATGGCTTCTTCGATTGTTCCTGAAAATCCTTTTTAAAAGGAGGAAAGTTCCTTCCTTCCTTTCAGCTCCCGGTATCTTGAAGAATTCGCTCCATTGTGAGGCCAGGACAGAGACCCTTCTATGAGGGCTCTCCTCGAGCCCCCCTCCCACCCCATCCCAACAAGCCCCCATTCTCCTCTGAAGAGGGTCCCTCTGTCTAACGCCAAGTAACTCTTAAGGGTAGCATTTATCCCGGGGCACTCAGCTCACAAAGAGTGCTGGAGTGTCAAATAAACTCCCCGCAGGCTGCAAAGAGCAGAGGAAGAAAACACAAAACCCCCTTTCTTTCCACCCCTGCGGGGAAACAAATACGGACTTTGTGCCGGCGGCAGCGGCGCCCTAACGAGCCCGAGCGGGGCTGCTGCGAGCCCGGGTGGCCCCGTGAGGGGCTCCGGGGGGACCTGGCACACGGCAGAGGCTCCAACCCCCCCAAAATCTGCTGCCTGTCCCCGCTGCTGCTGTGCTGGGGTTGTCACCAGAGGTAAGGGACAGCCGCATCCTCTGTGCCCTGCCCAGAGCATCCTCGGAGGGCTCAGCTCCTGTTCCTGATGGGAATTCAGCTTGGGAATGGTCACCTCTGGGTGTTTGCCGTGGTTCCTGCGAGGAATCGCTCCCGGGCTCTTTTCCCTGCGTGGATTCAAGCAGGAATCCGTGTGCCAGGAGCCATGGGACGGGTCCTGGGCGAGGAGGTGGCCAGTGCTCCCTGGGCCGTGGCCACCAGCACGGCCAGCGCCTCTGCTCGGCAGCAGCAGCAGGGAAATCCAGCTGGCTCCCGGAGTTTGGCACCGTTTGGGTGCCAAGTTTGGGCATCTCTTGCAGCTCCGCTCTGTGGGATGTGCCCGGGTGCCCCGAGCAGAGCAAGGACTGGACACAAGGTCGTGCTGCGGTGACCGAGGTCACTCCTGTCCCTCCTGTCCCTCATCCTGACCTCTGCTTCTCCACAGGTTTCGACATTCCTGCGGGGACAGCTCCCGTCGGCCCCAGGAGCTGCTGGAACCTCCTTGTGCCAGCGGTGGGGACACCAGGACAGGAGTGGCACTTGTCCCCTCTGCCGGGGAAAGGCTCCCGAGCCAGGGTTTGGCCCTGGCTGGTTCCTCTGCGCTGGGATCCCGAGCCCCGAGCCTCGCCTGGCGTTTGGATGCTCCCTTCTGTCTGCAGCTGGGAATGGCACGGCCGTGCCTCCTGCTGCTCCCAGATCCCGTGGATTTACTGCTGTTGGCACCGTCCTGCTGGGACGGCCTCTGGCTCCAGCACAGGGAATCTCCCGAGGGACTGATGGGGAAAAGCAGCACTTGCTACAGCCTGAGGCTACAATTCCCTCTTTTCCTGGGCTACTCCGAGCATCCTGGCTCTGCAGGAGGAAGGATTCAATGCACTCCTGGAGGACAAATCCTGCTGCTCTAATGTGAGTCAAGAACGTGTATTTCCTAATTTTTTTTTTTTTTAAAGCACCTTCCTGTTGGACTTCTTGGGAAATATTTTCCCTGTCTTGAGGAAAAAAAATGCCCAATCCAGGGAGCTGCTGTGAGGGAATGAGGGAGTAGACAGGTTTGTTCTGACAGCTGGACCAGCTGCTTTAATCAAGACATGAATTTTTCCATGCCATTCCAGCTTGAAATCCCCCAGTAGGAGTTTCCTTCCTGGAGTTTTATTGCAGAGTAATGGATAAAAGGCTAAAGGCTGCAGCCTCCCAGGAGGTTTTCCTTCCTTTCCCTCAGGAGGGGAATCCTGATGGTTTTCCACTCTCCTAGGCCAGTGGTGGCTGCAGGGGGGACTCTTGTCAGGGTCACTGGGGACAACATGTGGCTTGTCCTGAGGGGCTCCTGGAGCCCCAGAGGAGGAGCTGGAAGGTTCCCTTTGGAAGGGAGAATGCTGTGAACCTCCTTGGGATGGAAAATCCATTTTCCTGCTAGAAAATGATGCCAGACTTTGGACTTTGAGGGGACTTGTGCTGGTGTTGTGATCTGGGTGTGCCTGAGGGGCTGCTGGGGGACTGAGGGTGTTTGGCCTGGGCGAGGGAGGGTGGAGTGGGATTTCTTGGGTGGGGAATGAGCTGCTGCTGAGCAGAATTCCAGGAGGGTCTGGTGTTTGCTCTTCCCAGAGGGGGCAGATGAGAGCCTGGAGCTCTGAGTGGCTGGAGCAGCTCTTGGTTTCAGTCTTCAAGCACTGCAGCATCTGTTTGAACTCAGCAGAGGCAGTTCTTTCTCCTCTCAGTCACCTCCTGAGTGGTGCTGGTGCAGCTCAGACTCTCCCCAGTGCCTTGGGACTTGTGGTCTCCCCTGATGATCCCATGGACTGTGGTCTCCCCCCGATGATCCCATGGGTTGTGGCTGTCCCCTGATCCTGATGATCCCATAGACTGTGGCTTTTCCCCAATGATCCCATGGACTGTGGTGCTCTCCCTGATGATCCCATGGGGGTTGTGGTTTTCCCCCTGATGATCCCATGGGGGTTGTGTTTTTTTTTCCTGGATGATCCCATGGGTTGTGGCTGTCCCCTGATCCTGATGATCCCATGGGGGTTGTGGTTTTCCCCCTGATGATCCCAGGATTGTGGCTTTCCCCTCTGATGATCCATGGGTTGTGGTTTTTTTCCTGGATGATCCCATGGGGGTTGTGGTTTTCCCCCTGATGATCCCATGGGTTGTGGCTCTCCCCTGGTGATCCCATGAACGTACCAAGCCCTTGACCTCATCCCTTTCCAGCAGGAGTCTCCCTGTGCTCTCCCTGCCTCTGGAGCACAGGGAAGAGGAGGAGGGATGAGATTTGTGCCCGTGGTCTTGCTGTAGTTCCACGTTTTCCAGCTGGGCTCTTTGGGCTGAGTTAGGCAGAGATTTTGTTGCTGCACTGGTGTAAAACAGCCCAGCCCTCGCTGGCTCCTCTGTGAGGTGAGGCCGGCTGATAGTGGGGTTTGCTTTGGGTTTTTTGCATTTTTCCCCTTTTTTTGAGGGGTATCCTGTGGTTTTTGGGTCTGTGGTGCAGATGTTGGTGCTTGTGGGGATTGAGTCCTGTCGTGGTGCTGCGCTTCTTCCGGGAATGGTTTAGATTTTGGATCTTAAAGTTTATCTTGTACCAAAGACACCTTCCTTAGCACAGGTTCCTGTCCGGGCTGGCCTTGCAGTCCTGCAGGAAGGATGGATCCACCTGCAGAGCCCCTCACCTGGAGCTGCAGGCCAGATCTTGATCAGGATCTTCAGCAGCCCCTTTCCAAACCCTGGCTGGGAAATCTTCCTTGTCCCAGGCACTTTATCACCATCAGTTACTCAGCTCAGATCCAGAGCAGGGTCTGTCCCTGAGGGATGCTCCAGGGAAGCCCAGGGTGGCTGGGGGCAGGTGAGGTTTGGGCTCAGGGAATCCCACCTTGTCCTGGTTTGAAAAGCAAAACCAGTGAGAGGCTCTAAGTCAGAAATACAAATTATTAGAAAAAAGGGAACAAAGAACCAAATACATACAATGGCACAAAAGAAGAACCACTGACAGAGTCAGAGACACAACCTGACACTCGCTGGCTGGGGCGGTGGTAGCAGATATGGCTCTGTCCAAGCAGTGCTCCTGCAGACTGATGGAGTTTCCCTCTGGAGATCCAGTGCAGAGAAGGTCTCAGCTGTTCCCCTTGGAAGAGGGGATTTATTTGCTGTCTGCAGAACCCCGCTGATATCCTTGATGGCATCTTTGGCTCCTCCCTCTGGGCGGAGCCTCTCACAATGGAACGCTGTGATCTTCTCAGCCATGTGGCTGAAAGAACAGCTCCTCCTGGAGGGACTCATCTCTGAGTCACGAGATAAGGAAAGAAAGGGACTGCAGCTCCAGGTGGTAATGGAATGCACCCCAATATCATAACCCAGGACCAGAAGAAAGTTTTAGGGACTCCCTGACGCTGCTCAGCCCATGGAATCACAGAATCATTCCGGCTGGAAAAGCCCTCAAAGGTCAGGGAGTCCGAGGCCACCACCGACCCACGTTGCAAGTGGCACAGATTCCCTTTGGAAGGGATTTCCCATGGATCCACCTGGGAGCACATCCCAGGTGCGGGATGCTGGATACCGGTGGGGGGATTGGGGGCACAGCCTGGGTGGGAAAGGTGGGGTTCCGGGGGGCTTCCAGTGGGATCCTGGGGGGGTTCCAGCAGGATCCCGGTGGTGTCCTAGAG